GACGGGGTTTCACCATGGTCTCGATCTCCTGACCTTGTGATCCGCCCGCCTCGGCCTCCCAAAGTGCTGGGATTACAGGCGTGAGCCACCGTTGTGTCTTACTCTTACCTCCATTTAGGGAGCCAGCAATATCTCTACCCATTTGCTTCCCTTTTTGATACTGTTGAAACTTGAAAACCTTTCTGAGGAAGCCTTTGCTACACTTTGGGAATTAGGAAAGTTGCAGAGGGAGGCCACACAGTGTACTACAGTAGCTATAAAGCATACGTGGGATCATGTGAGTGTCCCTGTTTCATAAAGTGGGATTCAAACCCCCATGTTATGACTCAGTTTTGAGTTGTTGTAGCCTGATCCTGATGCTCCTTGTCCTTTAATTTTATGAAGAAAAAATTCTGTATGGAACTTCTTTTAAGTAATGGTTACCATCATAGATTTAAGAACTGTAGACAAATTCTTCTCCATACCTTCCTTTCTCCCACAAGTAACAGTATGTGCTTTTCATCTTACTTCCATGTTCTCATTTTTCTCTGTTCTAGTAGAATGGTTTCTTTTCCTGTGTAATACTGCCTGTCAGTCTGCGCTCTGAGTCATACTTTTTTCTGTCTTATCAAGGACTTCAAACCTATGAGTACCCTTACCTTTTGCTACTTAGTACTGTCACTTCTTTCTTTTAACTTTTGAACTGGTTACGGTCTCATTTGTTTGGGGAGGAGCACACCCATACCTTCATTGGACAGTTACTATTTCAGTCATGAAAGTTTCTTCTTTCAAAGAGATCAGTGTCTTGTGGGAGAGAGGTAGATAAAGATAATCACAGTTACATATAAATTCTATGATAGGGGTATTTATACTCTGCCTTAGGAATAATAGCTCCGTTAGTTAGGAGATGGAGGATGGAAATAGGGGATTGACTAGGCTTCCTGCAGGGGGAGATGTTTGATCTTGAAGTAGAAACCAGCCAGGCAGACAGAGAAGGAAGGGACATTCCAGAAAAGAAGGCCCTTATTCCTTATCCAGTTACTATGTTATTTTTCAAATAACTTGTACTTGGCACAGTATTAGTTAGCGTCAGAAGTACTAATGTATGGTCACTGTCCTTAGTGGTCGGGGGAGAGGAGGTGAGGGTAGAAAGCTTAAGCATATGATTCAACTCTGCATGTGAAACCACATGTCAGTTGCCAAACTGAGGTTATTATTGCTCTAGGAATTTAGAGAAGGATTAATGAAAGATTAGTAAAAGCTAAAGTAGTTGAAAATGAGGAATTTAGATTTAGTATAGTAGGAGTAAGGGAGCCATTGAAAGCGTTTAGGTATAATGACATGAAGGCAGTGTTGACAGGTTTCTCTTGGAGTGTATGCATGGACTGGATATGATTAGTAGGGAGGGGTGGTTGAGACATCAGAGTCCAGGAAGCCAGCTAGGAAGCTTTTGGAATGAGGTGAGGTAATGAGGGCCTGACATTTCTTAACCAGATTTCCATAACCAGATTCCTCAGAGCCTCCCGTGCTGTTTTTAAATTTACCACCATCTGTTCTCGTATACAAGTGGACTTTTGTCATCACCATTCCACTAATAAGTTTGTTTGTTTGTTTCTTTTTTTTTTTTTTTTTTTGAGGCAGGGTCTCGCTTTGTCACCCAGGCTGGATTGCTGTGGTGCACCCTCAGCTCACTGAAACCTTCATCTCCCAGGTTCAAGTGATTCTCCTGCCTCAGCCTCCCGAGTAGCTGGGATTACAGGCGTCTGCCACCACACCCAGCTAATTTTTGTATTTTTAGTAGAGACAGGATTTTACCATATTGGTCAGACTGGTCTTGCACTCCTGACCTCAAGTGATCCGCCCGCCTTGGCCTCCCAAAGTGTTGGGATTACAGGCGTCAGCTACCGCACCCGGCCTAATAAGTTTGTGTCTAAAGTTACTGGTGATCTGGCCAAATCTAATGATCATCTTTTGTGTTCTCCATGCTTAATGGAGAACCACAATAGCCACCAGCCTAAGTACCAACAATGGAGGCACTTTTTGCTTCACTACCAAGAATGCAGTATATGAAATGTAAGAAATTGCAAACAGAACAGAAGCCCCACTTTTTTAGAGTTTAAATTTGAGATGTTTTTATAGTGTACTTAAAATTTGCTCTTGCAGAACTGATGAATATAAGCACAGTGGAATAATTTTTACACATGATGGCTTTGAAGACTAGGGTCCTTTTTCTTTCCAGTCTATTTAAATCTTCACTTAGCTGAAGTTCTTCAGCTAGTCAATCTTAACCTAGCTGAAGACTTCGCTAAGTTCTTCTTTCTTTACCCTCAAGGCTTTCGTCCATGTTGTTTTCTCCTTTTCCTGAACCTTCACAGCACCCAGAGCTCAGCTGTGTACTTTTTTTCAGTTCTTTGTTGTGTCTGAACTTCTTTATTGAACTCTAAGTTCCTGGAGGACAGAAATTTTACCACACTTCCTATGTGTGTATTTTTATTTTATTTTATGTTTTACTCTAACATAGCTCTTTATAATTGATATAATTGATGCATTCTTGTTAAATATATAACAGACAGTAAATACCTGTATTACTGAGATTCTCCTAAAGTCTTATTACTGGCACTGGGGGAAGGGAGCAGAAGGCAAAGATGGTTCTCAGTAGGGAGCACCTGCAGTAATAATTATATTCCCATTTGTAATATGCTTTTGTATGAAAATGCATGTAACTGACTGCTTTGGGAATTTGAACAAAATAAACCTCTACTCCATGGAGACTTGATTGAGGTAAATTGGATGACAGCATGGTATAAAATAGCCAATCTTTATTGAATGAAATGTGAATAATAATGTAAGTAACTACTCTTATTACCAATATGAGTAGTTAACATTTGTTAAGTACTTACTACTTGCCTGGCACTGTTCTGAATACTTTACATCAGTGAGGTGGGTACTATTTAAATTATCATCTTCATTTTACAGATGAGATATATTTAGCAAAACTACCAGATTGGGTATCAGGAGATCTGAGCTGTGGTTTTCGTACTACTGCTAACTACCTGTGTGAAATTGGATGAACCTTAACTTTAGTTTTTCATTAATGAAGGGATTAGTCTCTGATCTCTAGAATACTTTCTCTACTGTTTTGACATTGTGTGATCTCTAAATGATCCTATCTTCTTATTCTACAAGTCCCTATGACTTCTTGCTGGGAACAGACGTTTCTGGTTGAGATTGTAGAGTAGGATAGTAAGTTTTTTTTTTTTTAAGGTCTCTGAAGATGCTATATAGATGAATTTAAAGTTCAGGTTCAGAGGAATGTGTACAATAGAGATGGAGGGAATTTGAGAAAATGAGTAAGGTAAAATTGTGGATCAACGTATCTGAAAATCAAGAGGACTCAATTTACTGGCAGTGCAGATAGAATCCTAATGGTTGTCTTCTGATTTATAATTGCTCTTGCTTAATGTGGTTTACTTTATAGTGTATTAGTGCCCTCCCAAGATACTCCTAGACTAATATTATTAACTAACATTTACTGAGTATTTCTTTTGTGCATGTTTTAACACATTTAATTTTCAAAGTAATATTTTAACCATAGGTACTATTGTTGCATTTTACAGATGAGAAAACTTGGAGGCAGAGGTAATTAACATCTTCACAGTTCTACAGCTTATAACAGTTAGAATCAGTTCTTAGACTCTGGGTCTTCCTCATTCCAAACTCCCTGTTCTTTATTGATTCTCTGTTGCCTCCATGTTGTTCAGAGCCTATGCATAATAATCAAGGTTGCTTTTTGTCAGGAGCCATTTGGAATGAAGGGGCTATATGGGATTTTCATAGCTACTAATGTTTTCTTTTGACTTGAAGTCAAATGAAACCTTTAAGTTTTTTTTTGTTGTTGTTCTCCTTTTTTCCTTTATTTTGATATCACTTAGAAATCTTTTCTTTCTTCTCTACTTTATTGTCAGTCATTATTCCTGCTTCTTTGATCCCAGAATAGAAGGGCTTATATCCTCTGCTGAAAGTTAACAATTCCAATGTGAAGTGTCAAGCCTTGTTTCTATATTCTTATCTTCATTTCTTAGAGCAGCTTTCTCTCTTTTCTAGAATATGTGTTAACCTGGCATATTTAGTTTTCTTTCTTTGTGTGGTAATGGTCTGAATTTTTCAGCTTTGGAGAGAAATACACTACAGAATTCAAATCACTGGACGTTTGCCTAAGCCTGTCTTTGAGTTTTTAATGCTGCTTTTCTTGCTGACCATTTATGTGAAATACTGCCTTATATTCTGTACTCCCACATCTTCAGTTAGGTTTTGTAAACCTGGTCCTTGACTTATTTTTTTAAAAAAGTAACTCCCTGGTACTGCCTATTTTTTCTCTCACTCATCAGTGTCCTTGACTTTGCATTCCTTTTTTCTGTCAACTCCCCCAGCTAGCTTGTCTCTTTGCTCTTCTTGTATACCCTGCTTTACTCTTCCTACCTCCTACCTGCATAAACTCTACCTTGCTTCCTTTGTGCAGATTCCTGTGCAAGTTTCTCAGTTACTTCTCTGACCTCTTGTCTCCACCTTACTTTTTGGTATTTTGTTTTTATGACTCTCCTAAAATTTGTGTAAAAGAAATGCCAGAGGTACATTTTAAGCTTTTAACGGCTTGTGGTGGTGAGTAAAAGAGTTGGGCTGCAGCTGGGTTTTTCATACCAAGATCCTGTTGCCCTCTTAAAGAAACAGGCAGCAATATTTAGAAAGATTGGCATCAGAACCACTTTGTATGTGTGTGTTGTTCTGTATTTTAAACAATTTTAAAACCAAGTTGTGTTTTGATGAGGAAAAAATTAAGAAAAAAGATTGGAAATGTTGATCCCTTGAATATTTGGTTTGCTCATTAACATACTCAATCTTTTTCCTCCAGATGTAACTCAGGCTTTCCCTCACTTTGGAACTCCTAGATTTGTGAATATTGGATATTTTGAGAAGCAGGGGTTCTTTCCTTGATATTGACTAAGGAGTCTATTTACCTTCAGGATGACATCTGAACTGGAGAGCAGCCTAACATCTATGGACTGGTTACCACAGCTCACCATGAGAGCAGCCATCCAAAAATCTGATGCTACACAAAATGCGCATGGAACAGGAATTTCTAAGAAGAATGCACTCCTTGACCCAAATACAACTCTGGACCAGGAAGAAGTCCAACAGCACAAAGATGGGAAACCTCCATACAGTTATGCCAGCCTCATTACATTTGCAATTAATAGCTCACCCAAAAAGAAAATGACTTTAAGTGAAATTTATCAGTGGATTTGTGATAACTTCCCATATTATAGAGAGGCTGGCAGTGGTTGGAAGGTAAGGATTTTATTTAAATTATTTCTTTTATGAAGTAAGCAATGATAATACTGATTTCTACTGAAAATAAGGCTTTGTGAAGGCTCATGTAATTGATTATGAAATTTTGATCTCTAGTGATTTTCAGGATGTCAAAAAAAAGTTTTTAGCTTAGGTGAATAACTTTATTTTTGGTAGATTATTAGTGTGTTCAAGCTTGATTATGTTATAGTACTGATGTAGCATAAAGTAAAGCAGAGTTAATGTAGCATTCACTGGAAACCATACCTGCAGTTCAGGTGAGTTGACAGTGAGCCTAAAGTGAAAAACAACATAGTGTTGCAGCTAGTACTAACTACATTTATCAGTAAAGAATTTTTTTTTTTTTTTTTGGAGACAGAGTCTCACTCTGACGCCCCAGGCTGGAGTGCAGTGGCTTGATCTTGGCTCACTGCAAGCTCCGCCTCCTGGGTTCATGCCATTCTCCTGCCTCAGCCTCCAGAGTAGCCGGGACTACAGACACCCGCCACCATGCCCGGCAAATTTTTTGTATTTTTAGTAGAGACGAGGTTTCACTGTGTTAGCCAAGATGGTCTAGATCTCCTGATCTCATGATCTGCCCGCCTCGGCCTCCCAAAGTGTTGGGATTACAGGCGTGAGCCACCGTGTCCGGCCGATTTTTTTTGTTGTTGTTTTTTTTAAATTAGAGACAAGGTCTTGCTCTGTTACCCAAGCTCAAGTGCCTGAGCACGCCACTATGGCCAGCTAATTTTTAAATTTTCTGTAGAGATAGGGCCTTGCTCTGTTGCCCGTGCTGGTCTCGAACTCCTGGCTTTAAGTGATCCTCCTGCTTTGGCCTGCCAAACTTTTGGGATTACAGGTGTGAGACACTGTGCCTGACCAAGACTTTTTAAAAAATATTTATCTTGAAAGAATTTTAGATTTTTGCAAGAGTTGCAAAAGCAATACAGAAGGTTCCCGTGTGTACTTCGTCAGCTTCTTCTAATGTTAACATCTTACATAACCACAGTACAATTTTCAAAACTAAGAAATTGACTGAGCATGGTGGCTTATGCCTGTAATCCCAGCATGTTGAGAGGTGAAGGCAAGAGGATTGCTTTAGAACAAGAGTTTGAGACCAGCTTGGGCAATATATGTTGCTCATGATTAGATGCTTTCTTATAATTAGAATGAGGTGTTACATTTTTGGGAAGAATAATACAGATACTGCCTTTTGTGCATAACATATCAGAGGATAGATAATATAAGTATTTCTTAGTGGGAATGTTAACTATGATTCTTTGGTTAAGGGGATGTCTGCCAGGTTTCTTCATTATGAAGTTACTATTTATCACTTTGTAAATAGTAATATGTTTTGGGGGGATACTTTGAGCATATGCAAATACAGTAAGTCCTTAACTTTGATAGGTTCTTGGAAACTGTGACTTCAAGCAAAACAACGTAAAGTGAGACCAATTCTTTTTCCTCATCAACATTATAATGAAATGATGTTATTTGAAGACGTGCTATACCTTTGACTTAACGTTGCAGTTTCTAAGAACCCCATTAGTAGTGCTACATGAAGACTTACTATACTTTATTTCTTCTTAAACTTTTGTCCGTTAATTTTAGCATTGATTGGTAGGTCATAACTGTAGCAATTATTCCTCTCTCTCCTCCCCTCTCCTCCCTTCCCCTCCCATTCCCTCCCCTACCTTCCCCTCCCCCACCTCCCCCTCCCCTGCATTCCCCTCCCCTCTCCCCTCCCCCCCCCCTTTTTTTTTAAGAGTCTTGCTCTGTTGCCCAGGCTGGAGTGCACAGGCACCGTGTCAGCCTGCTGTAACCTCCGTCTCCTGGTTTCAAGTAATTCTCCTGCCTCAGCCTCTTGAATAGCTGGGATTACAGGTGTCTACCACCGCGCCTGGCTAATTTTTATATTTTTAGTAGAGACAGAGTTTCACCACATTGGCCAGGCTGATTTCGAACTTCTGACATCGGCCTCCCAAAGTGCTGGGATTATAGGCATGAGCCACCATGCCTGGCCAGTTATTACTGTTTTCTAACAGTGATTGTCTCTTTTCCTTAATTCCTTCGACATTTATTAATTTATACTCTTCTGAAAAGATGAGTTGTTCCTTTAGTCCCTTTTATTCATTTATTCAATCATTTATTTATAATAGTATGCACTCATAGATATTTATTCTTGTGCTATTGTTGTCATTCAAATTGTTGCAACTTTGGCCCTTAGGAGCTCTTATAGGTTGGCCCCATACTTCTGTTTGCTTAGCACTTTCTTTCTGGCACCTTGAGTTGTTCCAGGGATATATTGAGTCTTCTTGCCCAACTTTGGAATCAACCACTACTTTAAGGAGACTTTTGAGGTACTAGCTAATTTATGTTATACAACAAATAATTCAGCTTTCTTTTTTTACATTTTTAAGTTTTTTTTTTTTTAAGACAAAGTCTTGCTCTCTCTCTCAGCCTGGCTGGAGTTCAGTGGTATGATCCTAGCTCACTGCAGCCACAAACTCCTGGGCTCAAGTGGTCCTCCTGACTTATCCTCCTGAGTAGCTAGGACTACAGGTGCGTGCTGCTATGCCCACCTGGCTAATTTTTAGGGTCTTGCTATGTTGCCTGGGCTGGTCTTGGCCTCAGGTGATCCACCTGCCTCTGCTTCCCAAAGTGCCGGGATTATAGATGAGGGCCACCGCTTTCTTTCGTCTCTGCACATGTTATATTCATATTCTTACATAGGAATTAACAAGTCGTGTGCTATGTGGGGTGTATGTATACATGTAGAGGAAGGGAGTTATAGAGCTTTAGGTCGATCATCAGATGGTAGTTACTCTTTAGTTTCTCTTAGGTACTTCAACACTTTTGCCTTTTTCATTTGACTGGATTTATTAGAGACATTTGCTGATTTACTGTGCACCAAGGATGTGCTGTGCATGATTCCCTTGTAAGGGAAGGGATTGTGCCTCACTGAAGTTTTTGTATCTCTTTCTCTTACATACCTTAGCACACAGTACTTCCATTTAGTAAGCTTCAGTAAGTGCAGTTTGAATGAAAGCATGAATCTTGGTCCCAGTCCACCTTTTTAGCTTTATTTTTTGTACCTTCCTTTCATATACTTCTCGCCATTCCAGCCTACTAGCTGTCCCTGTAAGTAAGCACATATATTTCCTTCTTGCTTTTGTTTTTTCTCTTATTTCTCCTTGGACCTTGTCTCTTTCACGCCCCCTTCCTTCTTTTAGTTGATATTGCCCTATTACTTCAGCTCATGTATTATTTCTCATCTCCCTGTAGAATCAATCTCTTGTGTTACCATATGCTTTATTAATAACAGTATTATAAACTTAGTTTTTTTGTTCAGAAATCTTGTTTCATTAGTTTTTGTTTCTGTACTTAGATACTCAAAATGATAGCTGCTTTTATTATTTTCTGTCTGCCAGGCACTAAGTGCCATCATTGTCTCTTTAGGCCACACAATAGCCTTATGAAACAGGTATTATTATTGTCCAAATTTTAGTAAAAAACTAAGGATTAGAAAAGTAACTTTCTAGAGTTTATGGGGGAGTATGATAATCTAAATTGAGTGGTACAGAGAATAAGTGCCACTAGAGTACAAGGAAGTGGGGAATCATTAGATAGCCATTGAGGGAAGTGGGACTTGAGCTGTGTTTTGAAGAAGAGTTAAGATTTGTGGAGGTGTTTTTCAGAGTTCAAGTGTTAAGAAGCACTCGGTTATCGTGGTTTGCAGTAGAGAGTGTGATAGGGTCAGAATATGGAGATCCTATGAATATATGAATGCCAAACTGGAGAGCTTGGTCCAAATTTAAGGGATAGCATATAAAGTTCGAATGTTGTTTTTCCTCATTAACTTGTCTGACTTCAGTTTTGATGATGTCTCCCTGAGAATGCCAAATCCATTCTACTGATATTCCTTGCTGATAGCCAGCCCAAATCATGGGTCTGAAACTGTTTCGGATGTAGTGATGCAGTTTCAGTTGGAAAAAATAGAAATAGAGAAGGATAATATCGTTGTTAGAACTAAATAGGTAGAGAACTAATGGGTAGAGAAGGATGATGTTGCTCTTAGAACTAGAAGATCCTGAGAGAGATGATCTGGTCCTATCTACTGCTTTAGGCAGACTTTTAATGTTTCCAGAGATGGTTATTAAAGTTTCCTTTACTCAGTTTTTAAGTATTTGGTGCCTAGCATATGGCATGATCACTTTTAATTTTATTTTTATAAACATAGAAATATTTTGAACACTTCGAGTGGAGACAGATGGAACCTCGTTTATCTTCTCCTTTGCACAGACCTTTTTCTATTTTACTTCCCATTCCCTCTCCTTAGATTTGTTTAGAACACTTCAGCAATCTGCTGCTTACTCTTCTTCAGGTACGGAGGAGATGGATCATAGGAAAATGGGAAGTCACTTAGAACTTGTGAAGTTAGCTTGTATTAGTTGAAGAGAGGTTTGGAGAAAGATCTTAAAGTGACTGTCACCACCTTTCCAGAAATGCAGAGTCAACTTGTGCGACCCAGAGGACAATATGTTGCCACTGTTGCTGAAAAAGACTCAAATACAGTTTTAGTAAACTCCCTTTCATTTTGTGTCAGGGCCTTGAAGGGAGATTACATATTAAAAATACCTCTTGGGAGTTTCCATAATTGAATGATTTTGTATTCAGAACTAGAGGAAAAGGAATTAAATTTTCAGGCTATGTGCAGTGGGGCTCATGCCTATAATCCCAGCACTTTGGGAGGCCAAGGCAGGAGAATCCCTTGAAACCAGCCTAGGCAGCATAGTGAGACCCTGTCTCCACAAAATAAAAAATAAAAAAGAAATTAGCCAGGTGTGGTAGTGTATCCCTGTGGTCCCAGCTACTTGAGAGGCTGAGGTGGAAGGATTGCTAGAGCCCAGGAGGTTGAGGTTGCAGTGAGTTATGATCATGCCACTACACTCCAGCCTGGTGACAGAGCGAGACCCTGTCTCCAAAAAAATAAAAAATAA